CTCTAGCGGCTACAGTAAAACTATGCCCATAGTTCGTTTTGTCGTACCAAAAAACCATTGTATACCATATTTCACTATTATACATCAAATATTGTTCGAAATATTTAAAAAAAAACTATTTTAGAAAGTAAATTTAAACACCCTGTATTTCGGAAGCCACGCATTTTTCGACCCATGTTTATATAGACTTTATGCATTAATTTTAAAAGTTCTATCGAATCTTAAAGTTATGCAACAATAAACTGAAACACCCTGTATACATCAAGATGGAACCAAAAAAGGTTCATGCGAAATGGCTTTATGAACCTGGCAGCAAAGACGATTCCGTGAACATACTTACAACAAAGTACCAACAAGTAAGTTGTTAAACATCTAGGACACATCAAGTACCCATTAACTGTCCCTCTAGGCATAGTTTTCCTCTTATATCCAATTAAGGAATATCAAATTAATAAAAGTTAACGCCAACTTAATGGTCGGCAGTTAATGTTCGTATCGGAGAGTGCTGTGGAGACATCCAGCGAATTTCCTGTAAAATGGAGGGATTGCGAACGAACATTCCAAGATTTCAATTACGGCATTTGAATCGCTGCCGATTGGCATCGTTTACGCTAGTCTAACTGACTTCCTATGTTTCTGATAAGGCATATGGAGATTTGCTTGAAAGTCGCATCTCGATTTCAACGCACCGGCTCTGATGAAGTCACATATGGCCCCATTTTCTTTAGTTAGGTATACATTTTCTGAAATGAGACCACTGGGATCAGGAATACAGATTGAGTGGCATGGAAAATGTATCGCAGCATTCTTGGGAGTATTCAGAGACTATTGAGCTTTTTACCGATTGTGAAAATACAGCTTTATTTAGGACATTCGGGGGGGGGACAAAAGTGACAAAAAGATGGCGTCGGTTGACTCGGCACTTCCCATGCAATGCTGCCATCAGTTATTGAGATATTATGTTCATCAGAGGCTATAGTTAGACCCTCCTAGAAACGAGTTATATACGAATATGCATATCAGAGGAATTGGATCAAGTGACAAAGACTCCATCTTCTCGCTTATAAAACGCACGACACCTGCAGTATGTCAATGAGATGTCGCATCAGCAAACGCGGATGACCCGTCAAGTAATCGGAGTAACTCACGAAGCCAGCAGGCAATGGGACTACGTTTTGGTTTCCGTCTCTGGTAGCATGACCAGCCCGCGCAGCGCTGTTTAGTGCTCATTACAGCTCATCAATGCGGTAGAGGTCTAGTCTTGGAGACAGATAAAACATTAGTCTGAATCGGGCTGGCTGCTGAAAAATCGCATATATAGCACAGATTTGTTTCATTTTGTAACATGACTAAGATTTGACTCCCCTTGTAGTTGACAAGAGAGCGATGCGGATAGATACTACACCGCACAGTTCCTCACTGGACATGGAAATTTTGACAGCTACCTGAAATGATAGGAGAAAGGGTATACGCGACTGCAATTACTGCTACGAAGAAGAGGCTACTTCCTGACCATGTACTTATAAATGTGGTTAACTACTAGAGGCAGCTAGAACTGGGACTCGGCGAGAGGCTCACTGCTGACAATTTTACCAAGTCTGTGAGCGAGAGCAAATGGGTTGACATTCAACCAGTAGTGACGCGGATGATGCTGAGCAAGATACAAAATGATAAAATTAGACCAAGGGACATATGTACGTATCTACGACGCTGAAAATGAAACTTAGCGCAACGCTGCCCACCATGATGAAGTGCTGCTAACATACCATGTATAGTTTCTCCTATCCAAAAAACCTCCAATAACCGTTGCAACCCTCAAGCTCGGAAGTTTTTCAAAAATGGATCAGAGCGTCAAAAAACGAGGTTGGGCGATTGTTTCGTGCGTACTTTTCTGGTGATAGACGGGACAAGAATCAGCGGATAGGCAACGGTGAGGCTTTTTCTTGGTGTAGTCATATGACATCGAAAAAACATAATACCTATGTCATTTTTAAACTTTTTCGCCTTTACAATACCTTTTCGCTAGCGGCGTAGGAGAGAAAACAATTTTTACTCGCAAAAACTACACGAGTGGGTTCTGAATCTGTAGAAGATGAAGGCTTCATAGTAAGTACTTAAATACTCCAAAACAATTTTTACTTGAATGTCATCCAATACCTATTCCATTTTTATTTCCTGTTATATTCCTGAACGAAGTATAACTTTTTAGAATAGAATTTCTTTGGGTTTAGGTCAACGCAAATTCATTTTATTTCATTTGTACAACGTTTTGGGTATCTAGTCCAGCCTCAGGCACATAAAGTATTTAAAAAAATATCTGGTGTTCTTTCCCTTATCCAGTTTTGTCTGAAGCTTTCCGTATTGACAGAGAGGGCTGGGACTCCTTGAATTGAATAGCATTATCGCAAAGTACAAACTTTATATGACTCCACAAGGAATAAGCCGTAAGTGAGGTCTTCCTTAATCTATCCAACAATGTTTCTATTGAAAACCCAATATGCAATCGTCCTGGTATTCTTTGACGAGAAAGTTGTATCCCAGGATGGATATATGGATTTGTTATCTTTGAAATGACGGGATATTTCTAAGCGCATTAGCAGACAAAACAGTACAAAGTCATCCCTCGATTTCTGCCACATGCTTTTGGAGACACTGTATGATATCCAAATTGCAGATAATATTCGATCCAACCCTGCACGGAAGAACTGTCATAGGTTGAAAATTTGACTGTTACATCTCATTGTGATACTTTTTTTAATAAATATTATTTTGATAGATTGTTCAATATTTTCTATAACCTGGGATGGAGCTGTCAAGGCAGCCAGTTTATGATGCAGCATGCATGATCGAGTTAAAATCAAAGGTAGGTAGTCCAGGTTCTGGATGGATTTGAGTGTGCAAAATGTAAGGACCGCTGTTTATGAGCAGATATCAACTGAGATGAGGTTAAAGAATAATAATCCTGTTCTTGCCAGGCCATATTTTGGTCGGTTTTCTTGAATCCCCTCCCCTCTGAAATCATTACAAGAATCACAATTTGATATTTTAGATCATTCTGAAACAAGAAAGGCAATGGGTAACTTTTCTCTTAAGTTAATAATTTTCGAGTCATGAACAATTAAATGTCTAAAAAACTCTCGGTTAGAAGTCATCATTTTCAAGGCTGCCAGGTATCTAAATTGAAGCTAAAATCTTACTCTATAAGACTCCAATGTGTATTTCAAGATTAATTTATTTTAAAACGATTTGTTAAGCAAAAATTAGCCACCTTTTGATTTTCACAGCCTGTAGATAACACCTTCAGTAAATTGAAGCCGAAACCAATGTTTTGTTTATATTGACGTGTATGGGCAGTTAACTTTTTTAAATGTACATGGCACCCCGAAAGCCATAGAAAAGTATTTTGCCCGTGTTACATTCTGCAAGCGGTTGCGATTCTACTAACATATTTGACAGTAAAAGACAAAACTTGAAAGCTGCATCGGAGAAATTTGTGTAGTAATAATAATAATAATATTTATTTGCTTTCAATTACAATTACAAATGTTCTTGTGAAATAAAAATAGGATGCAAATAAATATGAAATACCCACAGAAGGCAAAGCCTGTGCGTGGTGACATTTATATCCAATATTCAGTCTATATCAGTATAACTGTCATCATAGGCACCTACAATAGTCATAATTGGGTGTGCGTCGAATCAGAGAATGGCATATTAGGAAGGCGAAAAGTTCATTTGCTTTAGTTGCAAGCTTGAATATGGATACCTTTATCAGGTAACCAAATTCGTGCGGTTGCTGTATATCGCACATTGCCATGGATGTTGTTGATCGATAGCGATTGTTTGTTACCTGCTGTCAGTTTACAATGAATCCTTCTTTTTTTCGTCCGCAAGAAAAGATAGTGTAAGCTGAATTGAGGATATGTGTAGCTTTAGACGGTTTCACATCGCATGAAATAATCCGCTATGTAGAGGAAGGTATAATGTAATCCGTGAAAGGCTTAGGTCAAGCGTCGGCCTCTCATTTGTCATTTGGCTCATTTGCGGGCGCGCACACGATCTCAGGAATGCCGGCCGGCAGTTCTCGCCGCACGTGTAACGGTGCCCCTTTCTTCCTATAGTCCAGTGAATTCAAAACTCAAATACCTATCAATAGCCTTAAAGAGAAATTTTCAAAAAATTGTTAAAATCCATGAACCGCAAAAATAAATTTAAGTACTCGTACCTAGACACCCGTATCCCCAGTTTTTTTTCGCACACAGCTTAAACCTAGTAGTTACACCAGGAGAGGACAGACAAAGCAAATACGTTAGAAACATAAAACACAAAACATCTGATGGCCTGTGTCCACACGCTGTGGTCATTTAGTCAGAGATCTATGCGGTGTTACCGGATAGACAATCCTTTCTGGTGAATTCATCGTACGTCACTTCTGGTGAAAGAATGAGCTAGTTCTCGATACATAATAAATAAATCCCGATCCCAATGTCTGCAATCTACTAAGTTCTTCTGGTTGTTGAGATAAAAAAGATGGCATTATAGGAGGCCCTTTTTCAATCAGCTAACGTTTCGACGCTTACTTAACGTCTTGAGCGAAACACAAATACATCCTAATGATGAAAAACAATCCCTTAGGTGATATATGAAAAACGAAACTAGTATGAATGAAACATAAAGAAACAAAGAAAGAAAGGTACCAGTTGGCACTGACGCCGCATTCTACAAACTATATAGGATATCTTTTATCCTAACTACCCTACCTACGAGCATATTTGCAAAATGTTATAATTAAAAAATAACTTCCATACTTGAGCATTCCGATAATATAAGCAAGCGTGATATTTTTGAAAAATAGTTGGGTCCCTTCAAAACAAAGCTTTTCAAAGGCCCTAATTTTGCTGCACTATAGCATTCAGCTAGCCACAGATCTGCGTTTTACAGCTAGCCGCAAAGGTGTAACGATACAAATAAAACAAGTGAATCGGAAAATACAAGTCGCTGTTTATTTCAAAGAGGTTCAATTATATAATTATTGAGCTCTGAATGTGCAGGACATGTACATGACCTCAATATTAATGTATAGCTTACTTATCCAATGCCAAGTTGCAGTTATATAAACATTTTCAGATTAGTTTTGGTTTGTTATAGGTGAAGCTACCATTCACTAATGATACTAACAAGACGTCTATAGGTTACCATTACCAGTCAATTGCTGAGTCATCTCAAAAGCCAGCAAAGAGAGTTCTCCCTACAAAGAGATAGCAGACATAAATAATGTGTAACACATTTTGCATATTCAATATTTTAAGATATCAATCAGTTGATTCGGTGTTGATACGGTAACGTTCCTACCACTAGTCGGAAAATATCAATCTGTTTGAAATACCTGTTAAAACGAACATTATCTTTATGCAAAGCTGACCCTGGAGTGCTACCACATTTTATTTTGTACCGAGGTTTCGTAAGTTATCAACTAATTAATTAATATTTATATTTTCTGCAGCCTTGTTTATTTTGGCAAGCAGCAGATATAGATATACCTTCGTGATACATTTATTTATAAAGTGAATGTTACGTCCGTTACAATTTTAACGATGAATGAAAAGGACACTGTTGCTAGCATGATTAGGTAAATCGAGAGTGACACTAGTTGAAGTGTGCAATTAAAATGACGTGTGGGTACAGAAACCGTGCTATTTCCTGATAGTTAAATATGAATCCTTGGAGTCTTGTTTAGAACAGTGGACAGGAAAAATGATATGTGTTGGCATCTTCAATGATCGGAATATTCATAAATATATTTCCAGACTCTATACACGTACGTACGTACGTCACTGATCTTTGTCAAAGTGATGCATGATGTTCTATGAGACCAAAATCGCGGTCATTCTGTATCGGCTAAGAGTTTAAGCCAAGAAAGTCAAGTCATTGCTTGAAATTACGGATTTGACCACCGCAGGCGTCACTGTACCTCCGTATACATGACCCTATTTCTTGAGCCCCCCGTGATGCAGTAATCTCATTCCAGACATACATGAAGCCTTTCTCATATTCTCCCCGTTCATGTATTCCAAAGTTATACACGTACATATACCTTTTTTGATATGGCAAGAAGCATGTCAATGTTTTGGAAATGGTGGACTAAGTCACACTTATCCCATTCTGCCTTATAACGGTTACAGCTTTTCATTAACATGTAAAAACAAAATGGTGCCATCTGTGTGCAAAGCTTAGAGATACATTTTTAAAGACTCTCCCAGACAACGACTGCTGCATCCAGAATAGTATGCACATGCAACCCCGAAATCTGAAATTTTGGACTTGGACCATTCTGGATTTCAAAGGCTGAATGTTAGATAAGCCTCTAGTATTCATATTAAATCGAAAAAGACCTTCAAAGATCGCCTAGGTTAGCAAAATTTGTGAATAGGGAACAAATTCGAACAATCAAAAAGAAGGATCTGTCCGCTGCTCGAACTCTGGATCAAACCTGATACAATATGTAGATTAGATTTATAGGACAGCAATTACTGAGTTATTTCACTGAAAGTAACACTGTTACTACCTGTAAGAGATCATTCTGAGAAAAAGGATATATTTTTAACAGTTACTCAACATGTTCATTAAATTGCCATCTAATATAGTAATTTTGTAACTGGTCCCCCGGTATGTTTGGCTAATACCATCTATGTTTGGGCGATATTTATGCAGTAATACTGGTTATAAATAAACACATTTAGCATGCATATAAGCTATGCACGTTTCACTGGGAAAAATCCATCATTGGATTGAAATCAGAACAGCTACTCAGTGCTGCCACATCAAGTTGCTGATCCACTCAATTTATTAAATGGAATTTTGTGCTGCAAGGACAAAATCAACGATCTAATTTGACTGCTACAATACATACTGGCAATGCTCTTATAGGAACAGAAAGAGAAAAATATATTTAGAATTGAAACTAATTGAAGAATTATTGAAATGTTCACCTAACTAACAACCATTATATCCTTTTCTTCAATTTTACTCAGGTATTTGTTTTCAATTTGGTTACATTATTTACAACGTTGATATGATACTTGTTTCCGATTGGGAAAAGTAGATTTTTGTCGACAAGCTAGGTGATTTATGAAGCTATTCTTGATACAATATAGGAACTAGGGCTCATCTTACACAAATCGTATAATTTTTCTCTAGTTTGGAAGACATTTTACAAGTAATATATTCATCAAGTCCATTATTTCAAAAAATCCATTGTGATTGGTCAAATTTGCCCCCTGGGGCAATTTTGGTTCCGACGTCAATAGTGAAATCGTGACTCAGTATATCCACAGAGGAGTCCTGTAGGTCATTTTTCATAAGGACTTGTGACACTATTTTTTGTAAGCTATGAGTATCCCAGATATTGCTACCTTATTTTGGGAATCAGTATATCCACGGAGGAGCCCTGTAGGATATCTTTCATAAGGACTTGTGACATTATTTTTTTGTATTCTATCGGCATCCCAGATATTGCTACCTTATCTTGTATGGTCAAAAATAATGATGGCATCCTCATGCAGTCACAAAATAAAAAAAAGTTATGTTTTGCAGTTTCACCCCCAACTTAATACAAAGTGTTGGTGGTCAAAAATGTGGAAGACCAAGCCTTCTCAGATGATGCCCTAGCGACTGCAAGAAATCGTTTCATTTGGTTAAGGGCCAATTTCACCAACATTAATATTTGACGGTCAGTTGGACCAATAGGAAAATACCTTATCGGAATGCAATTTGAAGGAAGCTGTCAAAGCTCTCTGAATATCAAAAACGGTTGCCTTATAAATAAGGGTACATTATAGATGTGATATTATGTCTTTATGCTTCAGAATTAGGATAACTTTCATAGAATTTAAAATTTTTATCATTTAACAAAAGACGGACAGTTATTTAAATGGACCAATGAAAATGAGAGAAATAATCGGTCGATTTTCTAGCTATCATATTTAGTAGGATGTTTTCACTGTTTTTGACCACTGTTCATGCATGGCAATCTAGTTTTGTCTGTATATCATGTACAGGGTGTTGTATATAATACGTACCTATAGAAATGTACCGATTTTTATTATTTTGCAAAAAAGGATATAAAACGTATTCCAACTGGTTCATCATCTTTTGTTACATCGAAAACAATTTTTGCCAATTTATGATCTAGAAATCCACTCCAAATGTGAACAAACAGCACACATTCTGCATTTCTGGGTCTTAAATCGTCGATATTTGTAAAAGTATCCGCATCCACCTATTATTCATCATCTAGATATTATAAGTCAAAATCAAAAATACCTATTTATGAAAATATATCTCCAAACATTGTTATATTTTCTTGTTATTTCTATAATTATAACACGTCTGGGATATCAATTGCTTTTAAAGTGGTCTGCACATCTGCAGTGTTGCCGAACCGGCAAAAAAAACGGAATCGTTACGCTGGTCAACACGCGCAGTGAAATCCGTATAAGGTAGATGCCATCCCAAGATCAGTGGTAGATCAAGAACCTTTGAGTCATTAAAAACGTCTGTTATTGTATTGGGCGCACGCACAACATGATTTTGAGGGCATAGTTCTATATTAAAACTTCTACAATGTACATACTGGTCGCTCTTTCAAAGTACTTTGCAAACATTCTGGAAACTCCTTTTTCGATTCTTGCTTATAGGATTGTGAATATTTTTCTGTTCTACCCGAGCAATATCTATGAAATTTTTGGTAGAGCCCGTCATCAAGTAGGTGCTTAATCGCTATCTGCAAGAGGTTTATATGAAAAAACACACGGTAGCTGATGTTGAATCAGTAAAATAGCATATCAATTGAAGAAAATAAAATAAACATGAATAAACAATCGACAATATTAAATAAAAACATGAATTTTATTCAAAAATCGAACTCTTTTTTAAATTTTGAATAAACCGTATGTAATTTCTTGATATTCAATAAGCTGGTTTCAATGACAAGCTGTTATCTCATACTTTGAAAGTATTTTGTTTTCAACCTTTCATAGATACTGGTTGCTTGAATTTATTGATTGGAACTTGAAGCTCATTCGCTGTATTTGACGGACTATTACCCTCGCTGTATTTGACGGTCGTTACCCTATAGGAGGAAAATAACGGACTGTTGGTTTGACAACCCTGGTGAAATCCACCCTTAATATAATATTCAATTTCTCTGAATTACATGGAAAGTATATACATGATTATCAAATTGAAAAATAAGAACATACCTCTTTGAGTCCGTCCAGCCTGCCCAAACTCCTCGCCTGTCTAAGACCGGTCTCCAAAGCCCTCCGACCTTTCTTCTTTCTCTCGAGCAACCTTGGTTTCCTCGGCGTGATTGGCTGGTCATCCTCCTCAGGATCAGAGTGGACCTCGGGACAATGGTAGGTGTACCTCCTCTTTGCCGTAGGGCTGGTTATGCGGGTAAGGAGATTGTTGAACATGACTTGGGTGATGGAGAAGTTTAGAGGAAATGGATCAGGGGCTTATAGTGTTAGGTAGAGGAGTGGGCATTTTGGGAAGGAAGGAATATGCTCTGGGTCTGAAACAAAGTACAAATCGGTTAGTTGATGGAGATGATAAAAACGTGCTATTTTATTGGAGGTGATTTTAATCACAACACAAAGTTTTGCTGTTTTACTGTCGCAGTGTGGAACCTGGTATTGCCAACACGCTTCTGATGGAATGCCGCGCCTTTTTGATTGACAGATAGCTGGCAGTTAGCTCTGGGGTTCACAATAATAGACAGCTGTAGCAGAGGTACCGTTTTGGAGAAAACTGACGAATATGACGCATCTACGGCTCGAGAAGGGTCTGACCAAAACCGTTTTTGCAAACAACCGCGAATATCCTTTCACCAGCACACTCTCGTCTATTTTTATATATTTAGCTGAGCTGTAATGGCAAAGACCAACACGATGTAAAGATTAGGCAGAACAATGGCAGTCGCTAACCAAGCAGATTAGAGCAAACTCCTCAAGGAGTAGCCTTCTACCGATTAGATGCCGCACGGAGTTTAAAAATCAAACATAACCTTCAGGCATAGGATCGTTAGAGGGGTATTTTTCTCGCTTGACATCAACAAAGCTTCTGCTCCTGACTTCAGCCTTTCATCCTAACCGTACCGAATTTTGTACATCCAGAACTACCCGGTACGACCAAGGCAGCTCAAACATCGGATTAGCAAGTTGTCTTTAAGTTTCTTATAGCAATCGCGGTGCGTCCGTACTTGGGTTTCTGCCTATCGTACGGACTGCTTCGAAATGAAAAAATATGATTTGAATAATCGGGTGCGTCCGTACTTGGGTTTCTGCCTATCGTACGGACTGCATCGAAATGAAAAAATATGATTTGAATAATCTACGTACCTACAATTTTGGTTTAAATTGCCGTTACAGATATAGTTGCCGGAGCACTAAATAAAATTAACAACAATCATCTATTTGGACCACAGCAAAACATGCATCTTGTTTATATTTTGTCAAGTGACCAGGCAGATACAAGAGTGAGAGGTTCGAGCCCTGGAACAAGTATGAAACACATTCAGTACCACGTTCTAACGCTGAATGTATGGTATATATACAGTCTGGGTCTATTTAGTATTGGTATCTCCACTAATCTGAGATATTCGCGTATATTTTGAGCTGGAACGCAGATTACGATATTTCTGAAAATCCTTTTTTCTAACTTGCCATTTTTCGATACGAGTTTAAAAATCAAACATAAGCTCGGACTAATGACCTTTAGATGTATACAGATGTCATTTCTATGGTAAATATATTCTTCAAACATTTAAAATACTCTTTAGAAGAATGTTATTGTTTGACTAACAGAAGACACGAGTACAACGTACGACGAATAGGAGTGTGTTTGGTTTACAAATCTTTTTGTGAAACGCAGGCTTTACCGTAAAGACAAATAAATCAATTTGAACATACCTAGCGGTTTTGGCGGTTTGTGCTGCGAAAAGTAACAGAGTGTGATAATATATATGAATGACTCCAAGAAATAGAAAGGTTTGTGTATAACCCGCCACTAAGATATTTTTTAAGTCATTGGCTAATATTCCTTTTTAAGTGTTTTTCCACTTCGTCATGGACCGTTAAAGCTTTACTTTTTACACCCTGTAGAATGGGACAAGTAAGAAGCTTGCAGTGCTCTCAGCTTCCCGCATCATAAAATCCAGGAACCAGTTAGTAAATGGGTGCATAACAGATCTGTTTATAAACCAGTTGCTGTTTTGCGTGTACATAGCTTATACTTAAGGAAATAGCGTGCTACTTCTTCAAGAAGGTTCGTCCGTCATTTGACATACTAGTTATACAGGATATTACTTAATGATAGTCCGTAATCACAACGGCCTAGAAAAGTTCATGCTTATGTGCCCTAAAAGTCTTTTAAAGATACAGGGTGTTAAAGCTTAGAGAAATGGATTTTGACAGAGAAAAAAATAGAAAACTGTCACGGAAAATCAACTACCTGAACAGCTTTTCTTCAATTCAATAATCTTTTTACATGTAATGAAGTCGTTTTTATTTTTACCTCACAAACTAAGTAAGATACGAAGGGATACCAAGAGACAAAAAAGTTGTATCATTTGCCTGCTTAACAAAAAAAAAATATATGTTTTCAAAAATGATCAATATCATTCCCGAAAAGCCACTGGAATTCATAATTATCTTTTGGTTAGTGCTGAATTATGTCTTATTACAGTGAACACTACTGCCAAAATGGAATACAATCGTTACAAGCATCTATGGTGTATTAACAGGAAACCAACCTTTTTTGAAGATTTGAAAACTTTCCACCACGGATTTATGGATTAAAAGAAAAAACGCCGAGATACGTCAAACAATTTGTCAAGGGTCACAACTTTTTAATCAGGATATCGGTGCTGATGAAAAGAATGCGGAAAAAAATTCGGGATGCTATTTGGTTGATGCCACGTCTAATCTTCCGAATCGCTGTTTATGTTGGTAGTTGCCGTTTTAAATTATAAACGAATTGTAGATATGCCAAACCCTAACGAGCAACATTTTGAACACTTATGGGAATAAAAACTCATATTTTTGAATGTTTTTGTTTTCTGTCTGAACAAATTAAAATAAATAAAGATTTTTCTAATTTTCTCAAGAACGTGTCGACTGATTTTGAAAAATCAAACTTTAAAATAAAGGACTTGGAAGGACCTGTCAAACAAGCTATTACTCGATACCCCTTGTCATTCAAAATTTTTAAGGGAATGACCCTGGGGAGCTGAGGGTGAAAGCTGGTGAAGTAGTTTTTGGTGAAAAAGTTATCTCCGTTGACAAATCTTTTGACGTGTCTTGGCATTTTTTCTTATAATCAGTGGTTTTCGCGGTTGACAACTTGCCGAGACCTACCACATTTAGTTCGCTGTTGACCGAAAAGTGAAAGTACTGCATCACAGGTTTGCCGAACAGGGATGCGAATAATGATTCGACGATATTATTTTTGCATAGATATATTATTAGTTTTCGTGAAATTCATCTGCAGGGTACAAATGTTACAATTAGTCTGACTATATATACAAAGTGACTGTGAACAGGAGAAATTAATCAATCTTTTCTTAGTATTTGCGTGTTTTCTCTAAGGTAAGTCGTACTTATTTTTTTTATAATATTTGTTTGTTTTGACGGGATGGGGAAAGTATACGCGGGTAAGTGTCCGCAGTATTAAAATGCGTATACTTACCCCACTGAAGTAAATTCATTGTTTCAAGTATTATTTTTACGTTCTAGATTGAAAATGCCTCGCAAATATATAAGAAAATGTCCTGATCGGAAAATTTGTACTCAAGAGCAAATTAATACAGCCAAGAAGTTGATTGAAGGGGGAAAATCGAAACGCAAAGCAGCCGAAATGAAAGTACGTTAAGAAAACGTTTGAAACTTAATTCCACTGCAACGTCAATGGGAAGATATCAACCTACTTTTACGCGGGAACAAGTTATTATTAACTACTTATTATGACCGTACGGTAATAAATAATTGTTATAGATGTACGAAAATATTAAAACTGTTACTTTATTTTGTTTTTAGTAAGTTTCTAATCATTGCAAAGCTTGTGATGAGAGGTTCTACGGCCTAACTTTGAATGCCCTAAGAAAATTAGCTTATGAATTTGCAGAAGTAAACAAAATAAGCAACAGATTTGATAAAATAACAAAAATGGCTGGTAAATACTGGGTCTATGAGTTTATTAAACGACATTCTGAAGTGCATAATCAACAAAGTTCAACACTACATAGCCAACGAAACAAGGAAGCTGCAGCTGAAATTAACAAAGCCAATGAAGAATTACACGCACTTTTAGATTCGATGGACAAAATAGAAGAATTTCAGTCTTATATTTCTTTAATTGATATAAGCCCATTACCAAAGGCGATACACATTCAGACTCGACGCCAAAATCCTAGCATGTCGGAAATGATCATCAATAGTCCTTTGGACATGAAAACCAAAAGCAATCCAAAGAAGAAATATAATATTAAGAAAGATAAGGCTACAGATAAATCTTTGAAACAAGAATACTATTTTGTCCATTATATCGAGAAAAGTACGGAGATACGGCTAAAGTGTGGATTGAGTGCACAGTTTGTAAATCTTGGTGGCACGAAGCCTGTACCAGTTACGAGAGTGGCATATTTACTTATGATATATGTGCAATGGGTTAAGTTTCTGTTGTGCGTACACTTTGTCGTTGTTGCGTACACTTAACCGAAGGCATGCGGACACTTTCCCACTGATGAGGGTAAGTGTTCGCATTTCCCTTGTTGATTAAAAGTTTCAATTAAAATAACAATTTTATTAGAATTAAAAATTTATTAGATTAAACGTTGATTCTTTTTGAATTAACTAAACTTTTATTCTGGAATCAATTTACTAGAAATTGCGTAAAGTTACCCCACATGACTCTAATAAAGTAACACCCTGTATAATAATCCACTGATGGTTATCGTATGTTTTTTTGTTAGCATCGTTATTTTTATGGTTAAATATAAAACGCCCAGTCAATCAAACTGGATATGTGCGCAGCTTCTTACACCTCGCTTATATTTCTTATAATGTCTCAATGTGCCTACTACATTTCTGTTAATATTTAATGTACTTATATTCTGAATTCCCTTTTTTCCTCCTGTGATATATTTATTGGTATCCTATTGGAACTGGATTGTAACGTATGACATTGGAAGCCGCATCATATCTCTCTTTTACGTAAATCGCGATCGCTACAGACATTATGCAAAATACATGGACCTAAGCTACCACAGGTTCCGATTTGCATCTTTATAGATACCTGTATTCATTTTCTAGAGTAGAGATGAGATCGCTATGCTTTCATAAAGTTTAATGAAGAGTCAACTACGAGTACTGAAGAGATTCAGTTCATCAAGTAAACTATATTTTGTGGAAATACTGTTAGTGTAACTTGCAGGGGAACTATTCTACAATATGTTTTTGATCACACAAGATGTAATTACTGCAATTTGAATATCTGAGAAAGAAAAAATGTAATGAACGTTCAACAACCTATGTACATACGGATCATATTTCTGCAGTTTGTGGTTTGTCTATATGTATTTGCGTCGCATACAAATGTGGCGTAGTGAAGAACCTGAATCAATGAATGCATGAATCATGAAACTAGAGGCATATCAGCCACCATAAGGGCACTTGTGTACCTCTACATTCCTTAGGCCTCAGGCCTTGCTATTCTAGTAAAGCTGAGTATGACCTTGAGTCCAAGCTCCTTATCGTCCTGGAGGTACAAAGTGATGGACCCCAGTATAGTCTGCCTGTGGTAGCTCAGAGCCTCACAGCGACACAGAACGTGCGCCGAGTTCTCTTCCTCTAACCCGCAGTGCTCTCACAAGGGATTCTCAGCCACCCCCATCACGTGCAGGTCGCGCCTTAACACGTTACGAGTATGGCCAGAAAACAGTCCCACCAGCAACATTAGGTTGGATCTATCCAAATATAAGCAAAAATGTCCATCCTTAGCGCTGAGCCCTACGCAGATGTCTGGAGATGCTTCTCCATTCCTGAGAGTTGCCTTGTAATCCACTTCTTCATTTTCCTCCTATCCGTATCATTGCCCTTTATCCCAGCGTGCCCCAGTACCCACACTAACGATTCCGTATGCCTAGCGGCTAGACAATCCAGAGCCTCCCTGCATTGCAATACAAGGCTTGAAATAATCGAAATCATTGCAGCCTGGCTGTCGGAGAGAATTGTTGTTCTTCTCCTAGGCCCGTCTTCCTCCAAAATGCGGGATACACAAGCCAGAATCGCAAAGATTTCCACCTGGAAAATAGTAGTGAATGAGAAAATAGATAAATTTGATTTTATCGTGTACTAATTAAGTTACGAAATAGTTAATTTCAGTTAGTAGTTGTAGACAATGCCCCTTGTTACAATGACTGGCAGTCGTAAAATAATGCTGAGCATGTGAGTCATACCTCTGCGTTGATTCCTAAACCGAGTTGGACATTTACATGTTTCTTGAAAGCGATACTTAACACCTATTATTGTTAATCCTATTGTGTATTTAGTACGAAACAGACATGGAAAATGTATAGATCTCATTCCATACATACTCTTTATATAATGTACCAAAATGTATACCAGCGTTGAGCTCTTTGTTTTTTTGTTAGGGTGTTATCATAATTTTAATTATGTAAGGTCGCTTTTCACAATGGCTCTAGATGTGTTTAAGAAGATGCTTTATCAGGTGGCATTCACTCCTCTAGTCTCGACTAGAAACCTTATTTGTGTGAGAACTTTGAATCTCAGGTAAAAATGGGTTCCAGCAGATAAGCAATGCTTATGAATTCGCAGAGTAGCCGGCAGGAAGGAAGTCACTAACACGCGATATTCCATAAAAAGGAAATGCGATGTAGACCAAGTACTAACAGGCATATGAATATATTGTGATGCCTCTGGTTCCCAGCACCACCAATTAGCAGACCGGCTCTCATAATTAATACGTTATGTAATGCTGTGTTATGTCTAGTTTTATGTTTATGCTACTGTTCCCGTTAGACTAATTACTGGAATGAAATGGTCTGGCGAAGTCGAATTTGCTGATGGGAAAGTAAACAAGCTATACAGAAAGTTGGAAAACTGTTCGAACGTCATTCACGCAAACCTTTGGTATTTATTTATGCACGAAGCAAACACTACAGGGTGTAAACGTTATGATAGTCATTATTTAAATGAGTGATAGAGGAGGTTAAAAGAAACAAAAATATTCATATAACATGGGGGTCAAAACGGCATTTTTTTAGAGAAAGGCCACTTTAAAGTAAAATAAAATCAATGCCAGACGTAAATTACGACGGAACGCAGTGTAAATTAAGATTGAGTTTGCTATTTTTGGCTCTTAGGTATTATTTAATTTTTTGATAATGTACTCCTAAAATGCAAACAATTAAAAAAACGGACTTACCATTAACTGTCTCAGCGCTTCACCTGGTGTGTGAAAGTTTATTGAACGTATTAAAAAAATCCACTTACAAATAGGGAACACAATTTTGATACATACATTGTTTTTCTTTTTAAAACCCACACTGCACTTTTTTGTATTTAACACGTTCACTGCATTGGCTAAAAACCTAAGTTGTCCTGATATGCGTTACGGGGCAAACTTGACTCGTACTGAGTTGGACGACATGCGTTACGGGTGAAATATACCTCGTAGTCAACAATAAAGTTTTTTTTTGTAAAATAAAAGTTTTTTTAAAGAAATAACCACACAGTAATAATTATAAAAGTTCCTTTAACCTAAAACAGAGCCAGGAAAAACTAAAGTTAAATGATTTTTACGATAGAAAAAAGTAAAATATGTATTTTTGCAATAATATTAAAAACACTTTCTTTAATATTACCTAAACTAAAACAGTCAAATCCAAAGCTAAAATAGAGACACAGTCAAATTCTAAGCTAAAATATGTTGTCATATATATAAAAGAAAAGTAAAATATTGATTTTGCAATACAAAACGTCTAATGGGCTTCATTAAAACAAACTAAGCAGTAGGCCGGCTTCCCCGCGCACTCCTCGCAGTGTGTGTAGACTTTTTTTACCTTCTTATCAGCTTCGCGACTATTCATTGTTCTTCTTAGTAATTTGTAGCATCCTACACATTTTCTCCTCTTTTTGTTTTCGGTTTCCCCTACAGTAAGGGTATGGTATCTTTTAGGAGTTCTTGGCCGATCTGGTTGCAATTCTTCTCTGCCACACTGACAGAAATATTTCGCTAGTTTTTCTCTAAACTGGAGCTTGCTAGTTGGATGTTGATGATTAAACATAACCCAAGCATTGACGATTGCTGAATTAAAAATTAATTCAACTGCAATTTTTTTGTACGAATTTAAACTCTTTCGGAGGGGCTCTGGTAAGATGCCAGCTAGTCATTGTAATCGACACCTTTTTTTGCGTTATTGTAATCGACTACACACTGTGGATTTTTTTAACAGCCTGTCCTTTTCTTATTTTTCCTGTATTAACAAATGATGTATCGTGATTTTCACAGGTTGGGAGCATCAGAACCGGCCTTTATCTACCCACTTCATAATTTTTATGCCCTCTAACTCTTTTCCAGCTATTAGATCTCTTTTAAGCTTTTGAGAAATAATATTTTTAGGAACAGTTTTGCGATTCTCTCTCAAGGTACCACTGATTCTTGTTTTTTTGGTCTTCCAATATTTTGCCAATTCATAAGAAGTATAAAAATTATCGCAATATAAAATGCGGCCGTATTCATAGTAGTCACTGAGTAATGAATCCACTATAAACTCTGCGTGGCTGACGGTACACGGTACACATAACCATCAGTATTGCAAAGTTTGTAAAGTTTCACACCATATCTGTGGGATTTATTTTTTATTATTTTATAAATTGTTTCATTCTTAGGCGACCCCTCCTTGGTATCATAGACTCATCTATAACTACTTTTTTGGAACAATCACTGCTTCTTTGAATGTCTTTGTCATGCTGTCAATCAAATGGCGAATTTTGAACCGTCTGTCTTCGCCAGTATCATCTATGTTATTCATGAAATGCCAGCATCTTAAAATAATTAAAAATCGGTCGCTTGTCATACAAGATGATATAAATTTATTATGATATAAGGAAACTTTGGACCAATACAAATTCATTATTGGAGCGTTCACAATTCCCATGGCTATTACATTGGCAAACAAGTTTTGCAATTCATTATAATCTACTGGTTTCCATAAATTTAGTCTTGATTTAGGTTTGTTTTCTTGTGACATCAAATTTTCAGCATATCTATTAGTCTCTTGAACCATTTTCTCGATCAACTCGTCATTAACAAACAACTTCAAAAAATCGATAGGGGAAGAAAGGTCAGGTGGTACATTAAAACTGATTTCATTATCACACAAAGTAGGAAACAATTCGCTAGAGGGCACTGTTATATCGACCCAAGTTATATCAGATGGGCCAGGAGCATTTTGTGAGACATTGGCTTAACGGGAGTACATCTTGGGAGACTTCGAACTCATTTTCATCACTGGATGAACTTGGTATGTAATCTTTGTCAACAAGTTTTTTTCCGGGAGACATTTTTGCGATTAGTACCACCCACGACGGCGTATACTTGCCAGCTGAATAAATTTACTGTAAGGTATTGTGCTCTAATTCGAGAAAAATCCTGCATAGACTTGTCGAAAATAATGATTAGATGCGGGTCG